CCATTCCTTGACAAGCCCCAGTTTCTCTCCTGATGGTGGCAATAACTGTATCTACTCTTCACGGTTCTTTTGAGAGGGATATGGGGATGACTATGAGAAGCCACTAATCCATACGTTTTCCTTTCACCATCAAGCTGTGATGAATTCACAAACATATTACAAAAGGTTATTTGCTTTCTTAGGGGAAAACTACATGCCATCATGTGGCTCATGCAAAATGAGCCACAGCCTGTTTTTGGGTGGGTGAGGAGTAAGATGGCATGAGGTTAAATGTTTCAGCTAAATTTTGTGAAAAGTATAGTTTGTCAGGAGGCTTCCCTGATGGCTCAGTGGTAAAGAACTCGACTGCCAATGCAGGAGAGGCAGCTTTGATCCCTGGGTAGGGAGGTTCCCCTGGAGAAGGAAACGGCAACCCACTCCAGTATTCTTAACTGGGAAATTCCGTGGAGAGAGGAGACTGGTGGGCTACAGTCCAGGGCGTCGCAAAGAGTTGGACAGGACTTAGCTAGTGAGCAGGAGCATGAGCGTAGTGTGCTAGAATGTAAATTCTTAGAATAGGTGGGGCTGTACTTTTCTGATTTCCCAAGTTAAATAATACGGGGCTGTGTAATTCCAAGGCTCAAAATGAATTATTAATTTGTGACATGTTCCTATGAAGTATATTGCTTTTATTTTATTGTTTTGCTTTATCATCAAGTGTGTAAGATTAACCTCTAACCTGGGAGAGTTGATATGAGTTAACTGATGCAGGGCATGTATTTGTGTTTGACTCCGTGCCTAAAGGTACATAAATCATTTTCATTTCTGTCTTAAGGCAGGATGAAAGGGGCCACACAGAAAGGATTAAAATGAAGGATGAAAAAAAAAATCCTTCAACATCTTGGCTGCTCCTTCTCTCGCCCGTGAGATCCATTTCTCTTTAAACATTCAGAAGAGGATAGAAGTTGTCATCACCCCCCCTCTGTCCTTGGGAAGTAGCTCAAGTTAACATCTAAGTGGCTTAGGAGAAAATGAAGAATCCTTCCTTCAGAGACGAACCCCAAATTTTGCTTCCGCCTGGGTCTACGCAGGCACCTTATGTCTTAATTAGCAAAAGGAACAGTTTATTGGCCCAGGAATACCAGTGTCTGGGGCACTTTACAATAAACACATTCAGCGTCTGGTTCTTCACTGACCACACTATAAATCAGACAGAAGATGTCTTCCTTTTAAGAGACCAGTAAAAAAAAAAAGTTATGCACTTTTTTAATGGACAAAAAAGAATGCCAAGGAGAAATTTCCATATCCTGCCATGATGCTTACGGGGTCAAAATTCCAGATTGGATGTTTTTCTTTGCTTTGTTGAAGCAGCTAAGCAAAATATGCATGTGTCACTTACAAACGATGGTTGACTAGCCTTACGGGGTATTCATGTCTCAACCCAGAAATTTGTGGTTAAAGTACTCTTAAAGAACTCCACTTTTTTTTCTTTTTAATGTATGGAGCTGCTAGTAAGGTACTATACAGTTGTATACAACCAAGAAAATACCGGAATTACACCAGCACAGCAGGAAATTAACAATGTGGTAGATAATCATGCTTGGTTATAGATAATGCATTCAGTGCTTAAAATAGCAGTTTGCCATCCATGTGTTCTTTCATACCAGATGGTTGCAAGAGCATAGGACATTTTTTAAAATATATTCCTAGGGTACATATAAAAATCTCTTAATAGCAAGGCACCAAAAAAGGAAAAAGATCTATAATTTAGGATAAGTGTTTGTCAAATTGCCTTCATCTATATCAAGCTCAATGATATTTTTACTTCTTCAGTAAGTAAAAATATTCTGTTCAATGGCATATCAAAATTGTGATATTAAGTTCATCCAGAATTTTCAGTGGAGACACCCTTTTTCAACTGCAGTGCCCAGTTTGAACGGATTAACTGAGACTTCTGGGACAAACTTATCTGGCTACATTATTATTTCATTTTTAATTGCATGTTTCAGGAGAAAAGTCATTCACTCCAGTAAGAGTACCAGACAGGACCTGAATAGAGAACTCCATCATATTCTACTCATTGTGGGATGGCTCCCATCTCAAGGGTTAGCTGTCCAGCCCACTCTAAGAATATTAATTTAAACTCTTTAACCTTCAGGGTGTTGAGATAGCATCAGAGTGAACAGATGAGGCCCTGGGGACACAAGTGTTACTCTTTGGTTCTCTGTATACAGCTGTGGAGAACGCAGAACTATTTGTAGGGGGCGGACACGTGAAGCCAAGGTCTTTATCCCATGGCTTAGGAAAGTGCTTCTGGGCATCCCTGGTGGCTCAGTGGGTAAAGAATCTGCTTGCCAGTGCAGGAGATACGGGTTCAATCCCGGATCCCGGAAGATCCCACGTGCCCTGGAGCAACTAAGCCCCTGAGCCATAACTACTGCACTGTGCTCTAGAGCCCGTGTGTCCCACAGGAGAAGACTGCGACGGGAGGTCCAAGCCCAGCAACGGAGAGAGTGCCTGCACGGCGACGAAGACCCAGCTTGGCCACAAATGCAAAAAATTATATGCATTTATATGGAAGTGGTTCTTTCAAGACTGTCCGTAATACCTGGAGGCACTGCTGGTCAGCAGGTCTAGAGGAAGTGGTACTGGCTGGCATCTAATGAGAAGTCAGGGATTCCACTCAACATCCTACAACACAGAGGACAGCCCCCTTGACGAGGGATTCCCAGCTGGCCTCGGGGATGAGCCCTCCTGGGTATCTACTTGGCTAGGCTTCAGAACCCGATCACTGACCCAGACACTAGGTGTGGCTATGGAGGTGTTTTGTGGATGTGGTTAAAACACCCACAATCAATAATCAGTTGACTTGAAAGTGATCAGTTGACTTGAAAGTGATGACCGCCATCAGGAGTCATCAGGTGTGGGGATCATCAGTATGAAGTTGTGGGAGTTATCAGGTCAGCTAAAGGTCTTCAGAGCAAAAAGGGCATCCCAGAGTGGAAACGAGTGGGAATACTGGGAGAAAATATGTATGTTTCCTAGTTTTATATATATATATATATATCTACTGCCAATGCAGGAGATGCAAGAGACTCAGGTTCAATCCCTGGGTTTAGAAGACCCCTAGAAAAGGAAATGGCAACCCACTTCAGTATTCTTGCCTGGAAAATCCCATGAACAGACGAGCCTGGCAGGCTATAGTCCATGGGGTCCCAAAGAGTTGGACACAGCATAGAGACTAAACAACAGCAGCAATGCTATAACTGTACATAATCTTTCTATATATTTTATCTGTCTATATTACAATATCTAGTCTCTCAATATCTATATCCCATTGATTTGCTCTCTCTAGAGGACCCTGTTATGTACTGAATGTGTCCCCAGCCCCAATCATGTCTTGAAGTTTGCATCCCTAGGTAATGGTATTTGGAGATGAGGCCTTTGGAAGCTTCCATTAGGTCGTGAGGGCTCCACCTTCGTGAACAAGATCAATGCCTTACAGGAAGAGACAGGAGAGGATTTCTCTGTGCTGCGTGAGGACACAGCAAAAAACTATCTGACTGTAAACCTGGAAGCACTCACCAGAAGCAAACCTGTTGGTGCCTTGAAATTGACCTTCAGCCTCCAGAACCGTGGGGGATAAATGTGCTGTTTAAGCCCTGCAGTCTGCGGCACCTGGTCAATGCCGCCAGAGTGGACAGCCCCTGAGGATGCAGTCCTAAATGCCAAGGGTGCCAGGCTTGAGAAACCCTGGTTTGGGGACAAAATTACAGCCCAGGCTGTGAGAAGAGTGTCCTGAGCCTTAGTCAGCCTTCATGCTCCTGCAGTGGGCACACGTGTTCGTCTTTCAGTCATGTCTGACTCTTTGCAATCGCATGGACTGTAGCCCGCCAGGCTCCTCTGCCCATGGATTTCCCAGGCAAGAATACCGGAGTGGGTTGCCATGCCTTTCTCCAAGGAATCTTCTCTACCCAGGGATTGAGCCCAGGTCTCCTGCATTGCAGGCAGATTGTTTCCCATCTGAGCCACCAGCAAAGCTCTGATGCTGGGAAAGACTGAGGGTAGGAAGAGAAGCAGGTGCCAGAGGATGAGGTGGTTGGATGGCACCACTGACTCAATGGACCTGAGTTTGAGCAAGCTCTGGGGGACAGTGAAGGACAGCGAAGCCTGGTGTGCTGCAGTTCATGGGGTGGCAAATATCAGACATGCCCTGGCTTCTGAAAAACAACAACAGTGGGCACATGCCCCAGGAGGGGAGTTTTCCAGAACCTTCCGTGAGCCGCACAGACTGTGTTCCCTCTTCTTGTTGCAGGCCTTTTCTATGCTCTGTTTGAAGGGCTGGGGACCCCCCAAGACCTGACTGCTCAAGACCACCAAAGCTCAGCACCTCCGGGGGGCACAGAGGTCTCTCCTCCCACGGCTGTGAGCGTGTTTGATCTTCTTCAGAAAAGATGACTTAGCAGGATGGACTCAAATGTCAGCCCCCTTTTCTTCCTTTCACTTTATGACTCCCGTTCTGCAAACCCCGGTGCCACTGTGTAAATCACCCTCCTCGAGAGACAGACGGTGGCCTCCAGGTTTTGCCTCATGCCTTTATCCAGAGTTAAGGTGACCGGAGCTCTTCATCCTTAGAGACTGGCCCTTTGGCATCACCTCCGCTGATTTGGTGAAGAATAACCCACGCCATTCACACGCACACACCTCACACCAGTTGAAAACACAGCGACCTGATCTTTGCCGTGAACTTGGATGGGCTGGGCTGTTAGGTGAAAAGCTTAGACAACTAGTGGCAAGGTTTTGAAGCCTTTGGGATTTTCCTGGAGCCGTCATTAAAAAAGAGGACCCTGCGGAGGCCGAGATGAGGGGGAATCAATGAGGCTTTGTTTACCGCGGCTCCTGAGTTCTCCCATTGTGGAGAGGAATCTGAGAGCAGGAAGGACGAGGGGGGAAAAAAAAGCGGATCAAACGTGAGTGGTGTTTCTTTCAGCGCGATCCCTGTCCCCCCGTCTTTCTGCTAGAGGCGCAGTCTTGACAGCTGCCTGTCGCGGGCGCGCCGAGTCCTCCGGCATCAAAGGGCCACTGTCAAAGGGTCTTCTTGCGGGGTTAAAGGCGCTGGCCTCCTCGAGCACGGTGGCCCGCTTGGAAACAGAAATGCAGTTCCCCCTCAGGCTAGCTGCAGCTGCCAAAGCGAGCCGGGGCGGGGAGCTGGCCAGCGAGGGTGTGGCGCGGGCTGCGGATGCTGCTGGGACCTGCCCGAGCTGGTTCCCGGGAGGATGCCAGCCGCCGCCGCCGCCGCGGAGCCCAGGGGCCGGGGCCAGGGAGCGTGTTGGACTCCGTCCTCCGCGGGCCGCTGGCTCGCCTTCCACAAGACGCCTCATCCGCTCATCCTCCCTGACAATCTCCCCCGCGCCCCCACCTCATGTTTTTCCCTTTCCCTGGGTGTCATCCAATTATCACTCCCACGCGCTGCTTGCAGCTGTACTTTATGGATGACAAACATTTCTGCTTTATTGTTCGGGGAGAGCTACACACAGGAAAACCAGCCGAACCTTCACCAAGAGGCTTGATGACAAAATCTGCCGCCAGGACCCAGAGGGACTCGCGGGGACACCAAGGAGTCCTGGGGCTTGTTCTGCCCGCGAAACACAGCCCCCGCTTCTGGGGGACGTGTTTTGTCAAAGGGCAAAAACACCGAGTTTTTATTTTTTTAAATGCTGTTTTAAAAAGAAAAGACGTCATGCAAATAACCAGTAATTGAAAGCTATCCACTGTGCGTGGAGCTGGTGAAATGGACAAAGGGCTCCAGTGCCAGGGTCCCAGGCCAGCCTGTATCCTCAAGGCTGAGGGCTTTTCCCGGATGTGAGGCTTTCAGAGGTGGAAATGGGACCATCCCAGCTTAACCCGCACAGTTAGTTGCAGGGCCCAGGATCATTTCCCGCAGAGAGGGAAAACCACTTCTCTCGCAGTTTGGATTAGATTAAAGACAGTTTCTCAACAAGGTAAGCTTTAGGTAAACAGATTGTGTTGCCTCTCTCCGTGACATATGTGGGCTATCAATAATCAGTTTTTAAAAGCTCGATCATCTAAAGAGTCACAGCTTTCTGAGTTCAGAATCTCTGCATCACAGAGCTGAATCTTTGCGCAGGGCTTAGAAACATTTAGCGGAGAAAAATCGCCTCCTTTGAGCTCTGGGGAAGGAGGGGGGCATCACTTGTGAGAGACGTACGCCTGTGTTAACTGGTGGTGTCTGCACGTGGTTCCCATTCCTGGCATCTTGGAGAAAACACACGGGAGGACAGCACGGGGTGGCAAGTGCCGCCGAAGGAGGGAAGAAGCCGGAACACAGCGTTTTGCTTTTAAAAGATAAATCAGCAACATGCCTGGGAAGGGAGCGGAGGGTCATCGGGAGGGTAATCTAGTTAACGGTGGAATAACATTAGCCTGACCGCCTCGCTCTGCCTCCTTTTTAGAAATATAGCACGACACAGCTGTTGTGAGGTTTCATCAAGGCAGAAATCACAATAGCTTGTGTGCATTGCTTTACAGTTTGCAGAATACTCTCCCCTACTTCATCTTCCTTGGGCCTCCTGAAATAGCCTGAGAAGTGGGCCGTGCAAAGGTAGTAACCTCGTCCTTAGAAATGCGAACACCAGCTGGGCAAGGGTAAGTGACCTTCTGAAGATCACACAGTCAATCAAATCCATTCAGAACTGAGTCCTCGGTCTTCCAGACTCGACTGCACAAGGAGTTTGTTTGATTCTTTAAAGATTGTCAGGGTGAATACAGAACCATGAAAAAGCTGGAGGATTTGAACCCTTTTTGCAGTGTGCTTTATCTTCCTAAGATAAGGTAGAAGAACAAGAAAAGGGAAAGTTTCACAAAGGAGAGAGAATGACAGGCAAACTCTGCCAGCAGCTGGGTTGGTGAACTGAACAACTGTTTGACCTTTTTCAACATCAGTTTCCTTGCTTGAAAAACACCCATAATGAAGGTTTTCGTAAAGGTGGTTGTGCGAATTAAACAAGATAATGTGGGTAAAATGCTAAATTTGTCAAAAAAAAAAAAAAGCTTAAAATTTACTATTCCTACAACGATTGCTAATTGTAATATGACAGAGATAAGTCCAAACAAGTGTGTTGCAAACGTTGACCATGGTGGCAAGAGACGCCCTGGGTCTCCAGTGGTCCACACAGCTTTCCCAAGTATTTACCCACAAATGGGCAGGCTTCCTGTCCAGCCTGAACCATCGCCTCTAAGGAAAAAGAATCCAGCTTTCCTGTGTGGCCTTGAACTTACCGATAAGGAAACAGCAGACCGTGAAGGCAGAAAGCTAGCCCAGCCGGGCCGACAGGTGACAGTGACAAGTGACAGGGGAACTGCTGCCCTGGAGAGTCCCGGAGACGTTCTGATGCGCCCCGTGAAGAAAGCGGTTCTGTCAGATGAGACGCGGAGTTCAAAGTTAGCCACGGGATAAAATTAAATTCAGAGTCACTCATCAGCTTTGAAAAATGTTACCTGTCGACTTTCTTCTCTGTTGAATCTGAACGTGGGTGGTAATAACCTCATGGAGGTGCCTTCATGAAGGATCTATTTTAGATGAATTAGCACTACAGATCTCTTTGTTTGCTTTTAATTTTATTCGGCGCTGACACCGCTCTAATGGACAATCAGGATTACATTTAAGAAGGTAGTCGCCGAATGTATTTATTTACCTTAGCTATCTTGTTTCCTTCAAAGGCATGTGAAATCCTAGAAACAGAAAGTAACTCAGAAGGTTAACTGGCTGCTCTAGTTCATTCAAGAAAAATGGTTGGCTCTGCTGTTAGGAACCATTCTCCAGATTTCTAAAGGGCTTTTTAATGTGTGAGGTACATTTTGTAAGCAAATCTCAGGTCCATTGTATAGTGTTTTGTTTTAGGAAAGCTGTTTACATAATGTGCGCTTTTGAGATTGTCTTACCCAGCCTGAAAAAATAAAATCCAATGTTAATAGGAGGAGGAAGTTTTTTCACAATATCTGTGTATGTATATCAAGTCATCACATTGCACACTTTAAGTATCCTACAATTTTATTCATCAATTATAACTCTGGAAAAAAGATATATTTAAAAGTAGCCAAACACAAGAAACTAATAACACTTGAAATGTAAATGCTGTCAATGAATATTGCCACCCTTTATCTTCATCTCGCTTCTCCTTTCATTCCTTCCGCAAAATGCTTTACCCCTCTAGCCAGATGACTCTGGTCTTCTCCCAAACTCAGTCACAAGCTTTGTCTCTGCAGTGGGTCCCTTAGTTTTGCTTTCGTTTGCTTTTAAACAAATTGGACTTTCTGGCTCATCTCTTTAGAATCACAGCATCGGGACTTCCCTGCTGGTCTGGTAGTGAAGACTTTACCTTCAGATGCAGGAGGAGCTGGTTCATCCCTGCTCAGGGACTTGAGATCCCCCATGCCTCACGGCCAAAAATCCAGAACAGATAACAGAGGCAATATTGTAACAAATCCAATAAAGACTTTAAAAATCATCCATCCACATTAAAAAAAAAAAAAAACACTTCTTAAAAAAAAAAAAAAGAAGCTTCAGCGGTAAAGAATCTGCCTTCAAAGCAGGAGACACAGGTTCGATCCCTGGGTCAGGAAGCTCCCCTGGAGGAGGAAAGGGCAACCCAGTCCAGGATTATTTCCTGGGGAATCCCATGGACAGAGAAGCCTGAGGGGCTATAGCCCAGAGGGTCGCAAGAGTCAGACACAGCTTAGGGACTAAACCACCACCATCAGTGATCAAAAACAGAAACTAAATAAAATCACAGCATCTCCTTACTTTCTTGGGTAGCTTGTCTGCCCACCAACCTGCAGCTTCTCAAGATCTGATACATCTTGGACTCTCTGTGTCCAGGGACCCTTGAAAGGCAGGCGTCGGAATCAGGTGTAGTCAGAATCCAGGCTCCCAGAAGTTGGTGACCTTTAGCAAGTGACTTGCTGATCTCTTCTGCAGGGAGATGGATTGTATCAAGGGCCCATTTTTCACCCCACCCTCTCGCCACACCCTTGGAAAGGTCCCCTGACCATGTCCACCCACTCTGAACTCTGGGTCTGGCTGGGGGGCTTTCTTTGATCACTGGGATGGCATGGGGACCCGAAGAGCTCCTCCACATGTGTACCTGCCATCTTATTCTCTGCCATTGACTTAAGGAGGATATACCTGATGTAGCCTTCTGGAGGATGGTGTGTGTGGCCCCATCTGTGCTGCCAGAGTTAGCTGAGACCCTCCTAGAACAACTATCAGCTAGCCTACCATTGAAGCCAGGGGATGAGCTTAGCGGCATCCAATCATATACACCTGGGCAGGTGCAGTTGTGTGGAGCTCAGGCCAGATCAGCATAAACCTGCCTGCTCCTAGCATGCGATTGTGGTCCTAGGATGGTGAGATTTTGTGGTGCTTGTATGCAGCATTCTTGTGGCCACAGATGATAGTCATCAGCATTCCTCATCTCTAAATAGGTAAAATGTTTGCAACTAGCTCAGAAGTTACTGTGAAGGTTAAATGATCTGATTTGTGTGAAGTGCTTTGTCTTCTACCTGCCACAGAGAACGTGCTGTTACTGCCTCTTGGACACCAGGAGTTGTCATGACAACTTCCATCCTCCACTTTGCTGGGTTCTTCTTTTGGATGGATTCTTTCCTCTAAACTGATTATTCCCTTTCATTAACAAGCAAATCATTTTGTTAAGCACACCACCTTTTGTTTATGCCTAACCTCAATTATTTATTTTTCTCTGTCTTATTTTCCTTGATAGTCTTGATTTTATCCAATCTGTTCACCTTCCTATACTATTTTAAGGAGTTTTTAATTACAACATCCTGTCTTTTATCTTTAATGTCCTTTTGGTTGGGGCTGTAGAATTTGAGGCTTGCTCTTCTATTTTTCCCTTCCAGTTTCTTGGCAAAGTGAGTGTTAGTCACTTAGTCATGTCCGCCTCTTTGTGACCCCATGGACTATTGCCTATCAGGCTCCTCTGTCCATGGGATTCTCCAGGCAAGAATACTAGAGTGGGTTGCCATTCCCTTTTCCAGGGGATCTTCTCGACCCAGGGATCAAACCCTGGTCTCCTGCATGGCAAGCATTTTCTTTACCATCTGCGCCACCAGGAAAGCCAGTTTCTTGGGATTAGCCACAAATCAGAAACATGAAATAATCTCCATTGATGGTACCTGAGCCCTCTTTCTCCAACGGCAAATGAGAGACCATCGGAGTGACCACCTCTGGTGATGGAGTCGTTAGTAATTTTAAGACCGGGGACCAGAGTTCAAATGCAGAAAAGACATTAACAAAGCCACTGATACACAGGGCATCACCTCTTAGGAAGCCTAAATGTTTCTTTCCAGATATGGAAATATAGTGATCTTGGGACCTGTTGATAAAGAATTGTCTGAATAGGTGGCCATTTGGCACGTTTACTCTCCTGCTGTGTCCCGACAATTGTCTTGAGTCA